TCTAGGTTATAGTATATACTATATACATCAGAACTTCGGAGTTTAAGTGTATGCTTGATAAAAGATAAGGATGAGTTCGGTGGAATGTAATAAATATCTTAGAACTCCACAAAACAATAAATTTAAATGAAGCTATAGAAAAGATGGATTGAATATGAATTCTCTCTCGTTAGATTACTTCTAGATTAAAAACAATATTCTGATTTAGATTAGAATTGTTAGCCCATCTTTCGAGTTCGTAGATTTTAAAGAATCCTTGTAGTATATACCTCAAAACTTCACTAGGAGTTTGCTCTTGATAAAAGATAAGGATGAGTTAGATGAAACGTAATAGATACTTCGGAACTCCACAAAACAATAAATTTAAAAGAAGTTAAAGAAAAGATAGATTAAATATGAATTCTCTCTCATTAGATTTAAACTACATTAAAATCAAAACTCTCAATTAGATTAAAATTGTTAGCTCATTTTCTGAGTTCTTAGATTAAAAAAATCATTATAGTATATACCTTGGAACTCCGCATGGATTTCACGTGTCGCTTGATAAAAAAATAAGAATGAGTTAGGTGGAACATAACAGATATCTCAGAACTCAATAAAACAATAAATTAAAAAGAACTTATAGAAAAGATAGAGTAAATATGAATTCTATCTCGTTAAATTAGATTAATACTAGAATAAAATTAGATAAATAGATTAAAATTGTTAGCTTATTTTCCAATTTCCTAGATTAAAAAAATCCTTATGGCATATGTCTCGAACCTGTACAAGGAGTTTACGTGTCCCTTGTAAGAATGAGCTAGGTGGAACGTAATGCATACTTCGAAACTCCACAAAGCAATAAATTTAAAAGAAGTTATATATAGAAAAGATAGAGTAAATATGAATTCTATCTCATTAGATTAAGACTAGATTAAAATCAAAATTCTGATTTAGATTAAAATTGTTAGCTCATTTTCCGAGTCCCTAGATTTAAAAAATTCTTATAGTATATTAGTATATAACTCGGAACTCCACAAGGAGTTTACATGTACGCTTGATAAAAGATAAGGATGAGTTAAGTGAAAAGTAACAAATATATCTCAGAACTCAATAAATTTAAAAGAAGTGATAGAAAAGATAGATTGAATATGAATTCTATCTCATTAGATTAATACTGTATTAGTATTAAAATTGTCATTTAGATTAAAATTGTTAGCGTATTTTCCGAGTTCCTGGATTTAAAAATTCCTTATAGTGTATGTCTCGAAATTCCACAAGGAGTTTACGTGTATGCTTGATAAAAGATAAAGGATGAGCTGCGCTAGGTGGAACGTAACAGATACTTCAAAACTCCACAAACCAATAAATTGAAAAGAAGTTATAGAAAAGATATATTTCATATGAATTCTATCTCACTAGATTACGACTAGATTAAAATCAAAATTCTCATTTAGATTATAATCGTTACCTTATTTTCTGAGTTTCTAGATTTAAAAAATCCTTATATATGTCTTGGAACTCCACAAAGAGTTTACGTGTATGCTTGAATGTTTGATAAAAGATAAGGATGGGCTATGTGAAACGTAACCGATGTATCTGAACTCCACAAAGTAATAAATTTAAAAGAAGTTATAGAAAAGATAGATTAAATATGAATCTATCTCATTCAGTTAAGACTAAATTAAAATCAAAATTCTTAATTATTTAGATTAAAATCGTTAGTTTATTTTATGAGTTCCTAAATTTAAAAAATCCTTATAGTGTATACCTCGGAACTCCACAATGACTCTACGTGTACGTTTTAAAAACGATAGGGAGGTAGGTGGAACGTAACAAGTATGACTGCAAAACAATAAATTTAATAGTAATAGAAAAGATATACGTAGTATTAAATGTGTTCTCTCTAGGTACATTAAGACTAGATTATAATCAAAATTATCATTTAGAATTTTGTTCTGAAAATTTTCAATCCAAAATCAGAAATATAGATAAAATATAGATCACAAAATGAAAAATAATGAGATGATGTTCGTGTATGCTTGATAAAAGATAAGGATGAGTTAGGTGGAGCGTAACAGAAGTTATAGAAAAGATAGATTAAATATGAATTCTATCTCGTAAGATTAAGATAGGTTAAAACCAAATTTCCCATTTAGATTAAAATCGTTAGCTCATTCCATGAGTTCCTAGATTTAAAAAATTCTTATAGTATATACCTCGGAATTCACAAGGAGTTTACGTGAACGCTTGATAAAAGATAAGGATGAGTTATGTGGAACATATTACGTAATAGAAAAGATAGATTAAATGTGAATTCTATCTTGTTAGATTAAATGAGATTAAAATAAAAAAATTCATTTAGATTAAAATCCTTAGCATATTTTCTAGGTTTCTAGATTTAAAAAATCCTAGGTTATAGCATATACCTCAGAACTTTACAAGGAGTTTAAGTGTACGCTTGATAAAAGATAAAGATAAGTTAGGTGGAGTGTAATAAATTCTTGTATCAAAACAATATTAGTAAATTCTTGTAATAAATATTCTTATTTAGATTAAAATGTTATCTCATTTTTCGAGTTCCTAGATTGTAAAAAATTCTTGTAGTATATACCTCGGGTAGGTGGAACGCAATAGGCTGGTATATTAGTAACAGGTAGGTGGAACGTAACAGGTAGCTAGAACGTAACAGGTATATTAGTAACAGGTAGGTGGAACGTAACAGGTATATTAGTAACAGGGAGGTGGAATGTAACGTAACAGGTACCTTGACACACTACAAAACAATAAATTTAATAGTAATAGAAAAGATATACGAAGTATTAAATATGTTCTCCCAAGGTAGCTTAAGACTAGATTAAAATCAAAATTATCATTTAGTATTCTTTCTGAAAATTTTCAATTCAAAATCTTAAAGATAGATAAAATATACTCTGTAGATCACAATATGAAAGATATTGATATGAGACTCAAATGATTGAAAATTATCAATCTAAAATTGAAAATATCTAGAATTTTAAGTTTTTTTTAACCATTTGTTAATTTTATTAAAATAATAAGTTTTTGTGAAGAAAAAAACATTACATATCAGCAAAAAAATCAATTGATTAATTGAAAATTTAAATCTACAATGTTTAGGTCATTCTTGGACAATTTGCAATCACTCTATCTCCAAATCGATAATTTTCACTTTTCAAATTAGTAATTAATAAGTAGCTTATATTTTGTTGTCATGATTTAAAATTAGATTACCGATTAAAATAAAGCTCGATTATAAGAATGTGACCTCAAAGTCTTATGTGCGAAAATTCATTAAAACTTTTAATCTGCTTTTTAAATATATAAAGTTTTATTTCAATGACTAACTTAGAAGTTGTGAGTGAAGAATTAATTAATCGTATACTTAAAAAAGTATTCACCCTGCTTTCAAAAAAAAGTATTCACCCTCAAAATAATTTTGCAAAACATTTGGGACTTGGGATTAGGGTATTTATTTTTCTCTTATAAGTATCGATATCACATATTCTTAATTCTCTACTTAATAATGAATACAGAAAGTCAAAAATATTTTAAAATAATTCAAACAACAAATTCAACAATACTAATCGCTTAATTTGGTCTTTTCTTTTCAAGCAGTGCTTTATGTGTACGCTTCATAAACGATAAGGAGGTAGGTGGAACGTAACAGGTACCGTGAAACACTACAAAACAATAAATTTAATAGTAACTGAAAAGATATACTTTATACGATAGTATTAAATATGTTCTCTCTAGGGATTAAGACTAGATTAAATTAAAATCAAAATACTTATTTAGATTAAAATCGTTAATTTTTCCTGAGTTCCTAGGTTTAAAAAATCCTTATGGTGTATTCCTCGGAACTCCACAATGACTTTACGTGTATGCTTCTTAAATGATAAGGAGGTAGGTCGAACGTAACAGGTACCGTGAAACACTACAAAACATTAAATTTAATAGTAACAGAAAATATATATTAAATATGTTCTCTCTAGGTAGATTAAGACTAGATTAAAATCAAATTATCATTTACTATTCTATTCTGAAATTTTTCAATCCAAAATCTGAAAAACAGATAAAATATAGATCACAATATGAAAAATATGGATATGATGCCCGAATGATTGAAAATAATCAATCTAAAACTTAAAATATCTAGAATTTTAAATTTTGTTTTAACCATTTGTCTATTTTATAAACATAAAAAAAAATTGTGAAGAAAAAATCATTAGATATTAGCAAAATAAATAAATAAATAAATAAATTAAAATTTTAAATCTACAATGTTTAGGTCATTCTCGGACAATTTGCAATCATTCTATGTCCAAATCGATAATTTTCACCTTTCATATTATTAAGTAGGAGTAGTAATAACGTAACTAATAAGTAGCTTATCTTTTGATTTCATGATTTAAAATTAGATTACATGTTTATGATTAAAATAAAGCTTGATTATAAGAATGTGACCTCTTAAAGTCTGAAGTGCGACAATTTAAATAAACTTTTAATCTACTGTGTAAATGTATTAATTTTTATTTCAATGACTAACTTAGAAGTTGTCAGTGAAGAATTAATTAATCATATACTTCAAAAAAGTATTCACCCTCAAAAATAATTTTATGAAACATTTGGCGACTTAGGATGAGGGTATATATTTTTCTCTTATTACCATCAATATCACATACATTGCCCCGTTCTTTTTTTAGCGGTAACATTCCTTTTGTCAATGCACAAATTTGATCGTCATGATATTTAATTCTCTATTAGTAAAAAAATTTTAAAAATCAGATTATGAAATTTTGTAATGATACGAATTTAACAATATTTTTTAAAAAAATTAATTCACATGCATTAATAAATAAAATGTAGTCAAAATAGAGTACATGAATAGTGTATAAATTCCAATGTTGCAACTATTATGATAGAGAAGATAGTATTCAATGAATATATAAAGTCAATTTTTGTTAAAATAATTCAAACAACAAATTCAACAAAACCGATCGCTTAATTTGGTCTTTTCTTTTCAAACGTGCTTTATATTGAAAATAAATAATGGCGTAAAGTTTAAACCATATTAGAATATGAACACGCAGAATCTGACGTCCAGGTGCAGGAAACAGGCAAAGTATGTTGGTGGGACAATTAAAACATTGCCAACCCTGCATCTTATACGCAAGAAATTACTGTAATCTGTTTAATGACACCAGTTCCTTGACCCTATATAAACAGGTTTCGGGTTTACTGTGGAAATGTGGAGTCTTGATGAAGAAGACAGGCAGTTAAAGTTTATGAGGTAATAAAAAATGCACAAAAAACAAGCAGAAATTGCCTCTTTTTCTTCTTCTTCTTCTGAGTCTAAGCAGCGATTCCTATGCGAGCGTTTCTAAGTACACATACTCTTTTTCTCGTTTCTCTGCAACAAAAATCCCATCTTTTTCCTTTTATCTTGTTGTTTTTATCCTCATTAAGCTGCCCTCCTCCCTGCCCCACACCCACCCAGACACGAGCAATAACCCCCCACCCCCACCCTCCACCGAACAGAGTTCACATTTAGGGGTGACTATCTCCCTCATTTCAGCCGGATAAACCGGTGTTTTTTTCACAGATCCAAAAGGAGGGTACTCTTTAAGAGACTGGGTATTCCTTCTTTTTCTCTGACTGGCTTCCTATTCCGTAAATTTTTTCAAGACGGAAAAAAGCACCTGTGTACTGTTTTTTTTCTCGGGATGGACTAAAGGCCCTCTGATGGCAAGTTCTTCTTTTTCTAATCATTTTTTAATGAGGAAGTTGGGGCGTGTTCTTCCTGGGAAAGATTTGGATTTCTGGTTGTCAATTGTGTTCTTGTGAACTTTCTTCATTTCTGGAATTCTGGGTCTAGAGGTATATCTCTCTGCTTGTTTATATATAGACCAGCTTTTCCAGTTGTCTAAGCAAACCGCTGAGCTGATGCCGAAAGTTTCTTCTTTTCTTAATTTGAGTGTTCGATTTGGGTTCTTTCATCTGCCCCTTGCTGATCTGCGCGAGTAATCGTAATTCAGCTGTTAGTTTCGACAAATGTTCGTTCTTTGTTTCTGACTCTGTTTGATTCTTTGTTTTCTCTCACTGAATTTTCCTGTAGTGAAAAGACGGAGACTTTGATGTTTTTTTTCTGGAAATTTTATGATATGTTGTCATTTTTATCCAGTTTTTGCCCATGTTTTCTGCGTTGTGTGTTTCTGATTTTTATCTTCTCTCACAGCCGTTCTGCGTTTTGTTCTAGAAATCGTCAAGAGTTGGAAATTTCCTCGTTCATATGCCTGATAGAGTCGAGGGGTTTTCAATTCAAACCAAAACTCTCTTCTTCCTTAAGAATTAACTTTATATGACCATTTTTAAAATTGGGTGTTTTGAAGATGGTATCTTTTTCAATTGAATACATAATAGATTTTGTATGACATATATAAGAGGAAAAAGAATCAATTGTTTCCTCCAACCGCTTGCATGGTCTCTGTATAGTTGGCATGTTCTTGTTTCTTTGGTCTGAATCAAGCACATTTAGTAGGGTTTCTTCGGTAAGGAAGATTTTGCTGAATTGAATATGCTGGATTTCCTGAAAAAGAAAAACATTAGTTAAATCTATTTCAGCCTAATAAGTAGAAAGCAGTTTAGAAAACAATCTACCCAACAGGGCCTTAATGAACCATTTGTTGTTGAACTAAAAGCATCTCTCATTTTATATGTTGAGACAGAAAGCGAGGATTCAAGAATGGAGGATGAGAGCAACTTTAGAAACTGGGCTGAGTTAATACCAGATGCCCTTGGGCTGATTTTCAATAACCTGTCAATTCAGGATGTGCTTACTGTTGTTCCAAGGGTTTGCAAATCATGGGAACGAGCTGTGGTGGGGCCCTACTGTTGGCAGGAAATAGACATCGAGGAATGGAGCAAGAACATGCCGGCCGAGTATGTTGATCGGATGCTTCAACTGCTGATCACAAGGTCCCAGGGCTCACTCCGTAAGCTCAACGTTACTGGTGTATCTAATAAAGATACGTTTACTCTCATTGCTAACAAGTGAGTTTTCATGTCTTGAGTTCTTTACATTGTTTGCATTAGGTATAAGCATTGGCTTACTTGTGTGAACCCCAAAGTATATAATGTTTCATAGCAAATTAAGCAGAAACTAAAAATCGATCGTATTAAGACTCAAAATACGAACACACAGATTTCAAGACGTTCATGCCCCAAGTATAAAGATACAAACTTGAATGTAAGACAGTGTTCTAAGTTTCTCTTATATTGTAGAACTCTAAGTCTCTAATATTAAGAACCCATTTTTGTGCCATGTTATACCGTCATTGAGGTCATGTTTCATTATGTAAATGTGGTTAACTAGTTTTAGAAAATCCAGGGCACGTTTTGAAAGGATTTTGGTGCTTGGTAAGGCTTTACTTGACTGAATTGGCTGAATTTGCAATGACTAAATCTGTCAAAAAGTCTAACAACTCATTTATATTTAAATATATCAATATCTTAAAGTAAAGCTAAAAATATCAACCTCAGCCATTTCGGTGAAAACCCGAACTCATGCACTACTTAATTTTAGTTTAACCAACATAATGGCAAAAGCTAGTGTTTTGGTTGGAAAAATGGTTGATAAGGTAAAAATCTTGAGCCTAACAAATGGCCACTAAAAAGCTACTTCTGCTAACTCTCACTTACTACCGAACGTGGCCTAATTGGGGGGGGGGGGGGCTATAAATGTCATGCAACCAACCTGAACTGACGAACTTGGTCCGGTCTGCAGTGCCAAATCTTTGCAGAGTTTGGGCTTGCCAAGAAGTGATATGGATGATGTTGCAGTGGAAGAGCTCGCTGAAATGTTCAGTAACATAACTGTCTTAGACATCAGCTACTGCAACAACATGGGGGACATAGCTCTTGACGCGTTTGGAAGGCATTGCAAGAACCTCACCACTTTTCGCAGAGCAATGCACCCTCTGGAGGTCATTGACAAGGTCTGCCAAGATGATGAAGCCTTAACGATTGCTGCCTCCATGCCAAACCTCAAACAGCTTGAGATCCCTTACATGCTGGTAAGCACAGAGACAATAGTTGAGATCATCGAGAGTTGCAGCCAGCTTGAGCTGTTGGATATTAGGGGCTGCTGGGATGTTTGCCTTGATGAAGATTTCTTGAAGAAGTTTCCGGGGCTTAAGGTGGTGGGACCCGCTATCGTGGATTGCTATAACATGAACGGATGGGACAGCTGCTCTGATAATTCGGGGTCTACTGGTTACTTGCCCTGGGACTTTGTTGGTGGTGATATAGATGATGATGATCTATCTGATGGGCTGTGGGAAGATGAACCTGAAGTTGATGTTGAGATGTGGTTTTATGATGGGCTCAATTCCATCAATGCCGGTTATGAATGGCCTCAATCTCCTTGACTGGGACTTTGCTTGCTTGCCTGCCTGCTGGATAAACATGGAATCTTTCATATAAATATAGTATAATAATATCCATATAAATTTGTTCTGTCTGTGTTGTATGTAATATGAGTTTTCATATTATATATTATAGATCAGTGTCTTTTTATGAACTCTCTTATTATCTTCTTCACCTTCTTCCTTCTAGAAAACCCAATGAGAAAAGAAAAAGGCAAATACCTTGTGTCTGTAATGTTTATACTTTGCAAATTATGTAATGAATAAACATTATGTTGTTTCTTCAGTAATATTACTGCATGTTTTATATAGATTTTTTGAGTTAGAGTTGGAAAGTTAATCTGGAATAGAGGAAAATAATAAAGAATGAATCTTTCATGTGTGTGTAGTGTGATGATAATAAGGTGATAACCTATGAATTTGTTATATTTTTGTTGCATATGATAAATGTTATTATTGTTATTAGTAGTGTCTTACTGTCTTATGATCAAGTACCCTAGTTTTTCCTTCACCTCTATTTATCAAGACCTAATGAGAAAAGGTAAAGGTAAAACACATTGTGTTGAAAAATGTAATGAATAAGTAGTACAACTTGGCTAATATTTTAATACGGTTTACTTATATTTTGGGTTGAAAATGGAAAGTCAATCCCATATAAATCTTCAGGTGCATTAGAAAAAAAAAGGAAAATAATAATTGCAAAATCAGGAAGGTCCACTCTCCTCCTATTCCAACACAAAAGTTAAAAGGGAGAAAACTTTTTAATGTTTGGGTTAATGTAGCAGTGAGATCTGAAGACAGCATTCCTTTCTTCCTAAGAGCACAATAATGAGAGAAGGTGGAAGGGAGACAAAGTGGGAGAATGAACTGAAAGCTGGGATCCGCAAAAGGTCCCATATCTCATGATTCATCTATTCATAGTGCATTGACTTCCTAAGACCACACCAAGTCCCAAAATTTCCAAGATTTTCATGTGCCACTTATTCAAGCAACTAAGGCTATCATTAACCCTTTGGCAGCCTTATTTTTCCCATCAGTATCATAAGTAGGATTTGACTTGGTTATTTGATCAAAATGGATTTGAGTAAAGGGTCAAATTGGTACTCGAAGTTGCATAAAAAGGGTCAAATAAGTCCTACTCTACATGGTGTGTCTCCGTATGAAAAATTATTTCATTCTGCACCAGATTTATCTGGTATGCGCGTTTTTGGTTGTGCTTGCTTTCCCAATTTTAATGCCACATCAGCAAATAAAATTTCACCACGGTCAGTTCAGTGTGTTTTTCTTGGATATGCGTCAGAATATAAAGGGTATCGTTGTCTTGATCCTATTTCTGGTAGGGTTTACATTAGTAGAAATGTCAGATTTCTAGAAAATGTTTTTCCATATTCTAAGTTAACGGGTACTACCTTGTCTTCATCTAGTATGCTGTCTTCCACCGTTACCTTAGTTCCCACACGAACCACTGCTTATTCCCATTCACAGGATGCTGCCCCTCCTACTTCTCTTAGTCCTGCTGTGATCTTTTCTCCAAACCAGCTGCAATTACCCTCTACCCAAGAAACCCAGCCAGGTTACCCTACACCACCCATTTTCACGCCTGATAGCAGTCTTCCAACTACATCAAATAGCCAGTCCACTCCTTCATTTTCTCCCAGCCACACTCCACTGGCCGAACCTTCTCCTACTGGCCGAACCTTCTCCCCAGACTCTAACAGCCATACCTCCAACAACCACACCACTCTGGTCGACCCTTCTCCCCAGACCAGCTGCTCTCCTTTATCTAATATCCCAGCAGCATCCCACCCCCTGGCCGACAGTAGCTCACAGCCCGCGTCTCCTGACTCCACCGCCCCGGTCGGTAATGTTCATCCAATGCAAACCCGGTCTAAATCCGGTATTTTTAAACCAAAAACTATTTTTACTTTAAACACAGTTGTTAGCACACCCGATCCCACTTGTTTTTCTGTAGCAAATAGGCATCCAATTATCTTCAAATGAATTCTTGAAGATAATTGCGCAGTTGAAAGCGCAGTTATCGTCAAGAATTCATTTTAATGCCTTCCCGAATGAAGTTTTAGCTGAAATTTGGTATGAGTAAACTAGACTTAATGAATAAGATGGTCGAAAAATTTCATCGAAAAATTCCACCGGGAACCGTCCCAAATGGCGACGGGCGGACAGTAAGGACTTATTTGACCATTTTTATGCAATTTCGAGACCAATCCGACCCTTTACTCAAATGGATTTTATCAAACATTTACCCTTCACAAAATTCAATATGTTAGCAAGCAGACCCTCAGTTCAGAAAGTTAAGGAAAACTTTCTGGCTGCACGGGAACGCAAAAATTGTGAGAAAACAGGAATCGGGGAAAGGGAAACGTCAACTTTTGATCAAAAAGGGCTTGTTTGGAGAATTTTCAAAGAGTTTTCGTAGAATTTGCGAAACAGAAACGTACTCTTTTTAAGAGTTTCCGTGCTAGATTTGGACAGGAAAATTTATGTTATGGGCAGCTGAGTTAGGGGAAACCACACACTGTTAGGGGAGACAAGTTCTTGATGAGAAGTCAAGATAGGGTTTGGTTGCCATATCAAAAAAGGGTAGAGAAAGATTCCATCTTATTGACTCTAATATGGAAGAAGACACCATTGTGATTTGTGATTTGTGATTTGTGAGTGAGGGAAGCACTAGTGAGTGGGTTCTTGCACAGGTAAGATGCGTTTTGGGTAAAAATTCCAGGGACATGAATATATTGAAGGGAATATTTGGTGAGGATTGGTGAAAGTGAAACCTGTCTTTCATCACGTGTGTTAGTGCCTATTTGTGTGTACCCCAAACAGTGTGGATTCTGCAACTCATTTGGGCTCAATTTTCAGCCTTTTCTGCCACTCGCCTCAATCCAACGTGGGAGTTTAAACTCCATTCGCATGTACTGAGCTCCCCAAATTTAAGGATATTAACTACGGAAAAAAAATACCTTCACTCGGTCATTCTTCAGACTAAAATTTATTTTTAATTTGGAATTTTAAACTTGACAAACGATAATCTAGACAAATTATGTATGAAATGGTAATAGAGTAATGTGACAATATTTACTACCACGTTATAGACAAAAATCTAAGTGAAAGTTTCTGAAATAAGCTAAGAGTAAACATGATGGTATTTACTACCACGTCATTGTCATGTTACTCCTAAGGGGTCGTTTGAATCACGGGTAGTGGAGGGTTACCGGTGGTGGGTTATTGGGGTTGTGCATTACCCAAAAAAATATGTCACTATTGGAGAGGTTGGCAATGTAATTGTCACTAAGCGTGACAACTTATCAGTGGGGCGCTAGGGTGGCACAAGTAACTGATGGAGTATATTGTCATATACACTAGGGGTATAAACATTTATGCTAAGGAATCTACGAATTCACCATGGCAACTCCGGTCGAGGCCGAACTCAAGATTGGTTCTTAGATCATCAAGATAAATCCAAAACTGCAGCCAAGGTCGAGGTTGACCCCGTATGAAGAGGATAACTCTTTCGGCACTATGGTCTAGCTACGTGCCAAATCCGACGTCCCATACTCGAGATCAGCAAAGACAACCTCAGTTATCATTTTGAGCCGAGGTTCCTCACCTCCAAGCACTAACATCGCACAACATTCATGATTACGTCATATCATGACAGTTGTCCCAGGGCTAACGCAATTCGGTTACAATAACCAGCTACCAGGTTTACACGCATGGCTTATCCAGCCATTCTGGTACGTAAAGGACAATAAGTCTGTATAACAGTACCAACCATCCAAATCAATCAGATATTCTCTCCCCAATTAAGCCTTACACGTGGCGTTAGAATAATGGATCAATTACTTTTACTTGTTCACCAAGTATTTCCTTGTATATTATACTGCCTCCGTTCTTTTTTATTAGTCCTTCTTCCTTTTTGGGACGTTTTTTTTATCTGTCCTCCTTTTCATTCAAGGAAAGTTTTTACTCTAAATATACTTGTATACCCCAACTTTTATTATCATTACCCCTTTCTCTTTCCTACATTTTCATTTACTCACTACTCATTACACCTTTTACTCTACCCCTACTATTTTCCTCTTAAAACTCGTGCCAAAGCTTAGGAGGACTAATATTAAAGAACGGAGGGAGTATATATCACCTTCCAACTTGTGGATAGATATCCCAATTCTGATTTTCCGACATACTTTTACTCTGCCAAATTTATTACTCAGTTCGTACTTTGCTTGATCTCTGACTCTCCCTCGGTTTTACTACTCCTAAGTCGGTAAAGCCATGGGTAACATTAGTAAAGGGTATAAAAGTCAACTTGGTCTTTGTTTTTGATATTTTTAAAAGTAATCGTATTTTTGTCCTGGACTTCTACTTTAGTACGTAGTATTGTTTATGTCAAAACTCTCATTTTTAAAATTTATACTAAAAGTTTCTACCTCATAAAAATAGTGTGCACTCTTATTATTAGGAGAAAAGCTTGGGAGGACATTATTATGTGAAAAGTGAAAACAACAATTTCTTTATATTGCATAGAATTAGATGGGTCGTCTTTATAACATCTTAGATTCTATAACGACTTATGTGATTTGAGCGTTGTGCATTAAGTCTAAATGTTATATATACCATGGTTCAAATTGGTAATGTCTTCAAACTTTGGGACTTCGGAAGTTTCTTTGTATATTATACCAGAAATGAATTTATTCTGAAGCACAACTGCTACAAGTTGTACCGTCCTTTCTACTTGCTAGCTGTCAAATATCTATTCCTGATCGAGAGGAAAAAATTACCCTTTAGAGACTACAGTATATTTTATTCAACAACATGCAAGCTGGAACTTTCTCAATTTGCAACCTTGTATGGTTTAGTTGAACCAACAGTGATTTGAAATCACCTATGGAGACAAAATTAATACCTAGTATGCAAAAGCTAGAACATAAAATTTGAATAGTAATTCATCAATTGCATGTTGCTATCGCCTATCAATGTTCCCGTACAAAAAAAAGAAACAAGATTTTGCATGACTAAAGAGTAAAATTATACTCGTATCCTAGAGTGCCTCTTTGAATGATTGTAATACGAATACTCCCTCCCGTCCTTATTAAAGTTTCCAATTTGACTTCACATAGATTAAGAAAATAAATTTGACATTACTGTGGAGTGCAAGTGCACTGTTTAGCACTATTTTTTACTGTTTTGTTTCCTAAAATGGAAGTGTGAACTTAAATAAGGGACATCCCGAAAAGAAAAGTGAGAACTTCAATAAGGACCGGAGGGAATACAAATTTAAAAATTTCCATGACTGTGTGCAACCTAATCTATGCGTGGGACCGTAGCTAACTCCCCAATGATGGAATTGGGCCGCAGTACTTTTCCTTTTTTTAATATATAAATTGAACTTCCTATTCTTACAAAAGGTAGGATCCTAGCTAATTTATGCGTGGGACCCTAGCTAACTCCCCAATTATCTGAGGTCCCCACATCTCGACCAGTCATTTTATAAGTTACGATGACTCGGTCATTTTAATGGTGATAGAGTTTGTATATGATCATTGCGGGTTCCGATTCTTGATCAAACTTTCAACTTTTCCACCAATTCAACCAACTAAGCTACTCATGCGGGTAACTTCCTATATGCTACATAGGGATGGCCATTGAGGCATATCCAATGGGTATTTTCATTGAATCACTCCGATCAAAACGGGAAAAACCGCATTGGTTGAGTAATAAATATGGGGCGAGAGATAGTTGTTTTGTTTTCATGAGTAAGGAAGGTTACGATTTCATATATGTTCACCCAATTATCTGTCGCGTTTTAATTTCATTTCTTCCTATTATTTGTTACACTTCTAAAAAAGATGGGATTTTTCAATTTCTATAAACACATATAGATTTACTCACTGAAAGAAAGTACATGATATACTAAAGAGTCTCATTTGGTTATTATCATATTTTTCTTGTTTTATTAATTTTTCCAATTTAAGATTTTACAGGTTTAAATTAATTCAGATGGGCTTCTTCCTTGCTTTGTAGGTGTACAGGGCTTTTAAGTGATGTCTCACATCTACACTCGCCTAAGAGATGCAATTTTTATACATTATCTTTTATAACCAAATATCAATGATCCATTTAAGAAAACGATTACTCATGGTTATATTTGTTACCCGTTGATGCAGTTATTATTTAAATAAAATGTATTGCGGTGTAAGGTTACAGGGCCGGGAAATTACCCAACGAGGGTTGTATGCATAACCGTCGCAGACTCGCCCCATTGGATTATGCCATGAGGCTTACGGGGGCAAAGGCTTAATTAGGCTATTTCAAATTTATGGACGAGTGAGACTTAGAGCTAATCTAACATTCTTCATGGCCCACAAAGGTACTACTACAGAAAATAGCATCGACAGAATCCTAAAATATTGATAGCCATGTAAGTATTGACACAAGTTCAAATTGTTTGATAAGTGTGCAACCATTTTAGGTGGCAAGATAAAGTTGAGAGGCAGCATAGTGAGTTTTAAGTACCAACTATATTAACAGTTTAAGTCTTCAATGCTACTGATCAGTTGGCAACTTGGGTCAAGCAGCTTGGAATGGAAACTTCAGTTCAATCTAATTCATTCCGGAAAACTGTCAAATAAACCCCCGTACTATACTGAAAAAGTCAATTAAGTTCTTGTACTTTAAAATCAATCAATTGGGTCCTCAAACTTTTCGTAAACATTCAATTTAGCAATTCAGCCAGTAAACATTCCGTTTCCAGGCCATAAGTGCATAGTCCGCGTGTCTTTTTTCGTTTTTTTTAATTCTCTAATCTCTGCGTTTCTTTCAGTTTCACTACCCAAATGTTGAGATTTCATCAGCTCAGATGTCCTTCATTGCCCCCCACTGTAGGCATGAGTGTCGCTGAAGCTTGTTTGGATGGTGTAGAGGTCGGGGAAACAATAGGACAATATTCATAGTCCAACAATTAGAAATGTATGCATAGCTCATTTTTTCACCGGAGTATATCACCGTCGTCGGCTGCCTTCCCCGTTCGCAGTCCAACACTGACCCTCATTCAGTCATAACAAGAGTATTCATATGCATCAGAACAACAATAAAAATGTTAATGAAACTCATACTTTGTATATAACAATGTGCATAGTAAACCATACATAGAAAAAGAGAAATCAATGGTTAAGGTGGAAAAATGGATGCAGGATGAGAAATCTGTCAGCTTTAAGGGATGAAGATTTTATAGAGTGGAAAAGAATTTCTTACCTTAATGCTGATACTTTTACATTCAATTTCAAAACTGATTTGAGATACATGGATATGGTCTTCTCAATTTCACCGAAGTGGGCTTCCCCAATTTCAGATTGATTCCGCAGTTGATCTGAAAATACTTCGATCTTCCAACCTTCATCAACGCCAGGGCCGGTCCTGTCCTGTTGGACCTATGTGCGATATGCTATTTTGGCCTTATTTCCAAGACAAATCGTAAATTATACTCACTTAAAGTAAAAATTACGGAGTATAATAAAACTATGAGAAATTATTCTAAATAGGACTAAAAACATTTGTATATTCCAAACTAAGATTATCATGTTTTTATTCCCTAAATAGAAGTAATTAATGTCATATTTTGACAGTATTTTTCGAACATGACAGTAATTACTCATTCGGGAAATGAACACATGACTGTCTTATTTTGAATTTCTGATAAAAAATTACTCCTATTTCAGGAATTCTCCCTACAACTATCTAATAAAAGGTTATAAAGTAAAGATGAAATTCACCTTCATATTATTTGAATTACATATTTGGACAAAAATTAACAACACAAGTATTACAAAAGAATAATGTGAAGTAAAATCATCAATAATTTCTTTATAATGAATACTTTTTTCAAGATCACATGTGCAATGTTTAAAATTGCTAATCCATTAAGTTTTTTGAGGCATAATAGATTATTGGGATGATGTTTGAGAATCAAGAGGCACTGGCAGTCCAAAGGAAATAATATAAATCGGTAATTTTGTAATTAAAAAGAATAAAATGTCTTAAACGCTAAAAAATGTGAAGAGACGGTGCTTTTATTGATTCAACAGCAATGTTTTGACTTACAACTTTTAAAAATCAAAACTAAATTTATATTCTTTTTTAAAACTTATCTAGCTCCGTTCAAGACTTTTTACTTATCTTTTAAAATTTTCAAATTGCAAATAAAAATAAGGTTAAATAATTAGTGAAAATTACAAATAAAAAAGAAGTCTAGTCAAATTACATGTAAAGAAAAAAACTTAGGCCTAATTTTCCTGTTTCCTTTTTTATTGGGCCTAGAACGGTCGCCCCTGCTGCCCTCCCCCTCGGAACGGCCCTGATCAACACCTACGGTCCACCACAGAAGAAGAGAGAATCGACATCTTCATCAGTGATTTCAGAGGTGCCTTTGAAAGAAAAAGAAAGGAAAGAAGGACAAACGAAGAAGAAAAGTGAAGAAACAAAGAAGAATTGAAAAAGGATAAACAGTGGAGATCAGAGGGAGGAGCGAAGTCACCGGAATTTGGATTTTCGTGGCAGCCGGGCTTGGAGCGATGACGACGAGCAGAGCTGCACAGATCCAACTGACATGGTCAACTGCTGTGAAGGTGAATGGAGAAGAGAACGTATGGAAGAAACAAAGAAACAAGACGAAAAAAAGCAACCGCTTGTACTGCCACGTGTGTATGTGACCGGCTAACCTGATGTTTACCTGATAAAATGCCCATTTGATCTTTTGTTAAGACTTTGAGGACCCAATTGATTGATACTCTGTATTAAAATAGGACTTAACTGAATTTTTCAGTATAGTATAGTATAAGGGCCTATTTGACAATTTTCTTCATTCCATATACATACAACATTGGCACATTAAGTCAAGCATCAATTGCATTGAAATTCAAAATGTACTTAAATCTGTACAAAATGTATCATTTTAAGTCAAGCATCAATTACATTGAAATTCAAAATCTGTGTCGAAGGATTTATGAGAACAATAATCCTAGCTTGACGCACAATGAAGTCAAATAAAGCCACATCAGACAAATGGGAATGTATAGGCCTGTCAATGGGTCGGGTCTAGACCCGAACCCGACCCGGACCTGGTTATTTTTAGCGGGTATGGGTCTATATTTTATTCCGTTTACCCGGACCCGGATCCGGACCCGTTAGTATATTTAATAAATGGGTCGGGTACGGTACATATGATACCGACCCGTTAAGGACCCGGACCCGTTAAAAAATTCTTATTTGTATACTAACACACTAATACATAAAGTGATTAGTTATAACACTTCAAATAAAAAAAATACAAACTAATATACACACACACACAAATATGTACATAATAATACATAAAATTATTACTTATAATTCTTCAATTAAAAATATGCGTACTAATACATACCTATCATATGAGTGATAATGATCGAGATAGTGTCATAGCATAAAATTAATACCCATTTTGGCCATTTATTCATAGTGATTAATATGTATTTGGCTCGGTAAGCAACGCACAATATTCATTATTATTGTTGTTGTTATATATATTCTTTTTTTTGTTATTATATATTCTTATTAATATTATTATATCATTATTATCATACACTCCGTACACTATGTGTGTATACTCTCAATAGTCCAAGACACCTTTTGTAACTTAATTTGAAGTCTACTCTACGAGCTCTATGTACGAGAAAAAGTGACAGAGTGTGGAGTTATACGCAGGAATCAATACCTTATTGGATAAAAGTACTAATATGAGAAACCTTGATATATTTTTTTTAAAAAAGTGAAGATATATTTTGCTTTTTATTTTGCACACTTTTCTTTACATTTCTCATACAAGTCTTGTTATTTTCAAAAAATTTACAAGGGTATCAAACTTGGCGGGTCTACACGACCCGGTTCCGAGACCTGTTGGGTTCAGGTTTGGATCCAAAATTTCAGACCCGTCGGGTAAATGGGTCGGGTCTGGGTCCATCATTAACTTAGCGGGTCCGGGTCAGAACGTAGCCGCCCCATTGACTGGCGGGTCCGGGTCTGGAACACTACGTTCCGACCAGAACCCGACCCATTGACTGGCCTAGGAATGTAGCCGCCCCCTGAAAACTAAGAACTAGATACAAATCATACTACCTCAGTTTGAGCTTCATTGCGGAGGTTTGTCGAGGGTCTCATACGATCGACATACATGATTTAATCTATATAGTACGTAGTATAATATACGTAAACCACATCTCTAATCTCTTGTAGAGTTGTAGTTACGTTTAGTGAGATGAGTATAACTGTATTCCGCACAGACATAGGAAGTCGTCATTTTTGTTAAAAAAAACTGAAGATGTTAAGGCCGTTCTCGTTAGGGCAGGGGTGTGAAATTAGGGGTGGGTTCGGTTCAAACGGTTCGGTTTTCCCTAAAACCAAATGTCGAATCAAAGTAAAAAGTTCGGTTCGGTTCGGTTTTTTGTTCGAAAATTTGGAACCATGGTTTGTTCGGTTCGGTTTTTTTGGGTTCGGTTTCATTTTTTTTGTTTTTACCAAAATATTTTTATTGATTAGAAAAATAGTAATTGGAAAACAAAAACAAAAAAATAAACTATATCAAACTAGTATTAATAGTTATACAATACAAAAACATACGACGTACATAATTAAAAGAAGAAAAGAAACAAATGCACTTCCAAGCAATGAATTAGAGAGTACGTGTATACCAATTTATACATTTTCTAAATTAATTAAATGTGTGCGTTTATTTGTGAATTATATACACACACACACATATACATATATATACAGTATATTCACAAGTTATTCACAAGTTATACAGTATATTCACAAGTTAAAATTTTATTAGTAAATAACTTATTCTACATACTAAATCTATTTTATGCTAAGTTATTTAAAGTATAGTTTATATTAATACATATTTGTTCAATATAAAAAACTATGTGATACCAAACATATATACATAACATATAATATATCAACAAAATATATCATTGTCATGCAACAACAAGTAAAATGTAAATTACGATTTAAAATATAAACATATTAATATTATAGCAATAGATTTAAGTGTATGTACAAGTGTTTCACTTAATTAAACCATAAATATTAAGGTAGATTCTATGGTACCCAAAAGGTATCATACCTTTGTCCACTTGGACCAGTCAGAATGTTGCAGTTGAATTATTTATATCTAAATTAAAAATGATTTAATGATTTGGACCAATCATATGAGTGGTAGGTAACTAGGTACGGTACCCCATTTTTTAAATGGGTACCGTAGTTATCACCAAATATTAAATGTCAATATCTTGCAAATCATAATAAATTTAGTACCAAATATTAACTTTCTAGAATTAAAAACTAAACAAAATATTATAATTAATGATTAATAAATAACATAACTAGTTTTAAAAAGTTCGGTTTATTTAGTTCGGTTTTGAGATGTGAAAACCAAAACCAAAACCGAACAAATACGGTTCAATTCGGTTTTTCGAGTTCGGTTTCGGTTTTCTTGCGGTTCGGGTTTTTTCGATTCGGTTTTCGGTTTTCAGTTTCTCTGACCCACCCCTATGTGAAATGATGGGAAAGGGTGATTCCAATATGAGCCCTGACAGATATATTTATAATAAATAAAAGTTGCCAAAATACACAAGGATTCCTAATTATTATTAACTATTACACCCCCCTCAAACTGTGCGGGAGATACAACGCGCAAGTTGTCCTTTAAAAAATGAAATTGCTGACTAGAAAAGCTTTTAGTAAAAATATCTGCGAGCTGGAGATGTGTAGGAGCATATTTGACCAACAGATCACCATGAGCAACTCTCTCACGAACAAAATGATAATGAATATACAATAATAAACACAGCTGTAAAAATGGCATCAACCCAAAACTGACTGGGAATAGAGGCCTCAAGAAGCATAGTCCTAGTGAGTTCTAAAAGATGCCGATGTTTTCGTTCAGCAATCTCATTTTGTTGAGGTGTGCCACAACAAGATTTACGAAAATAAATGCCATGAATATAAAAAAAATCTGCATAGTAAAATTAACAAATTCACCCCTCCATCACTTTGAATTTTTTTTAATTTTTGTATTAAAAAGATTTTCAACCAAAGTTTTAAAATTTTTAAAATGCTGAAATACTTCTGCCTTTGCACGCATGGGGTACAACCAAGTATAGCTAGAAAAATGATTAATAAAACACACATAATATTTAAAACCCAAATTAGATAAAATGGGAGATTGCCAAACATCAGAATGAATTAATTGCAAGGGCACAGTAGAATTATGACTAGCATCGCGTAAAGGGTAAAAGTTGAGATTTGCCTAAGTGGCAAGAAATACAGTCATGAGAAAAACTAGAACTACTACATATATGGTGCTAACTATGTAAAATACGTAAAATAGAGGTGCCACAATGGCCTAATATACGATGTCAAATCGGGCCAGACGAAGTGAGAGAAGACAAATCAAGTGGTAGCTGAGGGCTGAGGCTGACTGGATAGAGATGACCATGACTAGGAGCTTGAATAAGGACCTTCCCCGAAGTTTTGTCCTTAATAAGAGGAATTTTTTATCAAAAATTACGACACAGTTGTTATCAACACAAAGTTTTTGTATAGATAATAAATTAAATTTAATGTGAGGCATGTGAAAGACAAATTTTAATGTGAGAGGGCAACTGGAAGAATTTAAATGAACATCTCGAATATTAGCAATGGGAAGTTTAGAGTCATTAGCAACACTAACATAAAGTGGTCCAGTATAAATTGATTTGTTAACTAAAATACCTTCCGTGGGAGTCATGCTAGCCGAAGGCCCAGAGTCAGGGTACCATAAAGCAATGTTTGAGTCACCATTGGAAGTTACAAGAGCTGGCGCAAACGGCTGACTATAACAAGATGAACACTGAAGTGCAGAGTGACCTGCAGAGAAACAAAGTTGACAGACAACAGGCGGTGGAACAGATCCAAGGATTCCCTCACTCGATGATAAACCTGAAGTGTTCGGGTGAGAAGAATGCACCCCTTGAATAGATACATGTTGCTGACCAAACGCAAACTGACCGAGCCCTAGTTGACCGAGCCCCTACTGGTCGGGCCTGGAGCCTGCCTGATCACAGTCGTATGGTGGGTGAACACCCGCCGGCTGCTGTGCACCGAAGAACGACACAACCTGGTGCGGGTAGTCGTTCGGCTGCTGGTGGTGGCCTCTGCCGCGACCTCCCCTGCCACGAATAGCATAGCCAGCCTGTTGGTGACCTCCTGCTGTAGCGGCCACAAATGCCTGATGACCAGCGGCAGTCTGGTGTTAACGATCATAAAGGACGCGTTGCTCTTCTTCCAGGAGACGGGGTTGCAAAATGTCAAAGGGAAAATTCTCATGAAATAAAGAGACAGTAGTGACAAGAGATCGATACTCCGATCCCAAGCCAGCCAGAACAGATTGAAGAAGCTCTTTATCCGAGACAGGAGAATTAATTGCCGCAAGGGCATCATATAACGAGATGGACACTGAAGTGCAGAGTGACCTGCAGAGAAACAAAGTTGACAACAGGCAGTGGAACAGATCCAAAGATTCCCTCGCTGGTGAGAAACCTGAAGTGCTCGGGCGAGAAGAATGCACCCCCTGAATAGATACCTGTTGCTGACCAAACGCAGACTGACCGAACCCCAGTTGACTGAGCCCCGGCTGGCCAGACCCGGAGCCTGCCTGATCACTGTAGTATGGTGGCTGAACACCCGTCGGCTAATGTGCACCGAAGAACGGCACAACCTGGTGCTGGTAGCCGTTCGGCTGCTGCTGGTGGCCTCTGCCACGGCCTCCCTTGCCACGAATAACATAACCAGTCTGTTGGTGACCTCCTGCTATAGCGGCCACAAATGCCTGATGACCAGCGACAGTCTGCTGTTAACGCTCACAAAGGACGTGTTGCTCTTCTTCTAGGAGACGGGGTTGCAAAATGACACAGGGAAAATTCTCGGGAAATAAAGAGACCGTAGTGACAAGAGGTCGATACTCTGGTCCCAAGCCAGCCAGAACAGATTGAAGAAGCTCTTTATCCGATATAGGAGAATTAATTGCCGCAAGGGCATCCACTAAATTCTTGATTTCCCTCAAATAAATTTCCACATATTGAGTTTCTATCTTCTTTGTGTTTGACTATAATCATTTAAGTTCCATGCATCGGGGTAAACATGCAGACATAAATCTAGTCTGAAGTCTAGCCCATATAGCAGCTGAATGTTTCAGATCATGAACATCAACTAACACATCCCGAGTTAGAGTAGCAAACAACCAACAACGAATTGTTTGATCTACTCGGAGCCAATGATAATATTATGTGTTTGGAACTTGACGATTAAGAAAATCAACATTATACATCGGGGGTACCTGAATGGAGCCATCAACAATTCCAAACAGGCCTTGAGAGACCAGGAAGGATTCGAACTGAGGTGAGATAATCCTCGACTGCCTTCAATTTAATGGTGACAATTTGAGAGACAGTAGTGATATGCTACACGGACTGAGCAAGGGCCGACATCGGAGAACCAAAGCCTGATTGATCAATCGGCCGAACCACGCCTGGGAGCCGTAAAAGGTGGAGCCGAAGAACAAAGGTGCTGCCTGATGCTGGCCGGAGAGGGGCACTTGAGACTGAACCGGCGGTGGCGGCGGAGTAAAGAAGCTCGTCTGCCGCTAGACCAGGGGCTGCTGCCAAGGGAATTGCTGCGGCAAGGACTGAAACAAGGGAATTTGTCCAGTCGCAGAGAAATTAGGTAGAGGAGGAAAATTGGTAAACAACGTTGATGATGTTGGCGTCATGACCGGCGAACCGTTTGCATTAGGGATTCCAGCCGTAGAGATCTGCGCGGAGAAGCCTGGCTGGTCCATCGTCCTGGTAGGAAGGGAAGAGATTGTTGGCGCCATGGAAGAAGAGGCTGTAGCGGCAGCCGAGCTCATGGCCGAGGAAGCCATGACTGCGGCGGTCAACTTTTCCGAAGAAGAACTCATGGCGGCGGTAAGCGTGAAGAGACAGAGAGTGGGGGAAAATTAGGTCTGGACTGTTGATACCATGTGAAATAATGGGAAAGGGTAACTCCAATAGGAGCCCTGACAGGTATATTTATAATAAATAAGAGTTCCCAAAATACACAAGGATTCCTGATTATTATTAACTTTTAAGTGGGAACAAACCAAATCGGACAATACAAGACCAGAGTTACACAAGAGTAAAATACACATAAAACAGATGATACCTACCATGTGAGTCAACCAATTCAGACCAGAAAATATCAAGACTTAAATAAAACCAGAAGGTCAATTTTAAAGCGTAGAGTCTAAAAACATATGCAAAATCTAATAATCACAATACGACGATACGATCAACTGTAGTGTATCAGTGTATGATAAGGTAAAATGGTTTCCTAAGAAACACTCGAAGATAGAGTTATTTAATAATGTAAATAAGATCAACTACATATATTAGGACATATGTAATCACTACACGGCGATACGATCAACTGTAGTGTATTAGTGTATGATAAGTTAAAATGGTTTCCTAAGAAACACTCGAAGATAGAGTTATTTAATAATGTAAATAAGATCAACTACATATATTAGGACACCAAAAGGCAAGCTAGACGCTTTTAATACTGACATAGAAACAGAAGATCATTGCAGACACTTGTCAGTACAGATTTTTTCAAGGATTTTTGCCTACTACAATTCCCATTCGAGGATCTTCATTTTACATGTGTGTCGTTGGTGTCTCTTAAATATCTTTGCAAATGACAATTAATGATACTGGAAATGACTTCTGAAGCTAGAGAAGCAAAAATGATGTCACTTTAACGTTGGAAGGTGTCATTGATGATAGGGATCTTATGTATGACGCTTTCCTCCGAATATGATGAGCATGAGGTATGTGGGTATATGTGCATTGGTAAACGTGTATAGGTATATGTGTTTTCCCATCCATTCATGTCATAGCAATCCCCCGAGGCCCCGATAATGGGTCCCACCACCTTAACCCCCAGAAACTTCTTCGAGAAGTACTCATCGAGGCTAACATTTCGACAACCCTTAATATCCAACAACTCAAGCTGGCTGCAACTCTTGATGATTTCAAGTGTGGTCTTTGTGCTCACCAGCATGTAAGGAATCTCAAGCTGTTTGAGCTTTGACATGGTGGCAGCAATGGTTAAGGCTTCATCGTCTTGGCAGACCTTGTCAATGACCTCCAGAGGGTTCATTGTCCTATGAAGGATAGTACAGTGAGGTTCTTGCAATGCCTTCCAAACGCATCAAGAGCACGGGAACACACGAGAACAGACGAATTGAAAAATCGGAAGAATTGAGGCACAATATATAATTTGTTTTTTTATTACTCCAGGGGGTCTGGGGGAGGGGGGCTAGGGGGCCTGGAGTAATCTGGGCTGAAACTCACTCCATTGAGTTTCGAACCCTTATGTACCTAGCGGGTTTCAAACTCGAGGCCTCCCACTAGGCACGGTAATCTCACAACCAGCTAGGTTGGAATGCTTGATTTTGTAAAGGATAAAATACTCATAATAATAAGATCATGATAGCTAAACAAATACGGAGTAGTTTTCTAACAACACTTCAACCTATTATAATATTGTTCAATGATCATGCCAACATTGATTATACATTTGAGATTGGAGCATGCAGTTTTCATTTTAGAAGGAGAGCAACAGCGTTATCAAACCGCATGATACTTCGTCTAAACAAAATGGTTATAAACACTTCTATTGAAATCATATTTTATTGGTAACTGGCAATTTGAAATTTCATTGGAAAAACTTTTTCCAATTATTAGCTATTATCCCACACATTTTGACACTCACAAACGGGTGTGGATGAATTTAAACTAGATAATAAGAACACGATATTATTTGAAGCCTTGTAGGAAGGTGCAAATTTGGTAAAACTGAAAAGAGACTAGTACATGGTGAGCCGTGAGGTGATAGTGTGATACGAGAAGAGAGACTGAATTTGATATTTTGTGAAAGATATCAATTATCAAATAAGATGGAAAATGCAATATTTATACTAGGAGTGGTGGGCATATAGGTTTGATTTGACCGAACTGAACTGTACCAAACTCAAACTGGTAAAAACTAAACCGAAAACCGATACACCCATCGCCCAACTTATCCCCGGATATTTAAAGGCGATCGGTTTTTAAATATTTCAATGATAGATGGGAAATAATAGAAGAATCAATTTGATCATTTTCCTATAAATTAACAAGCTCTATAAATTTGTGAGGATAAAGTATAGGCAAAGTTTCACGCTATATGCCCTGCTCTCGCAACCTCAACTGACATAATCGAAAAGCTCTTTTCATTTTAATGAAAAAAATATCAAGACACGGAGAGCAAAATATGGACACTGGAGAACACACAAATGAGAGTCTTCCTCATTTCTTCTGAAACTGTCAACTCTAGAAAATATAACAATAAATGCTTCCCACAATAATAACAAAAATATAGTGTAATCTATCCATATATCCAAAACTAAAATCAGTGCTTTCTTTCAGTTTTCCTTTCCGGTTTATTTCCATCTGTCCCTCTTCAACTCACAAATTGGGTCAATCTTCATATGCCAAATCCAATGACTTCAAATTGGCTTCAAAGGATTATTACCTGGCTTCAACCTTTACCAAAGCACACCTATCAACTTTTGTCATCTCTGCCTCTTAGAATCAAGAGCCCCCCCCCTCCCTATTTCTAGATTCATTTTTCCCACTCAAACTTTGCATTTTAGTTCAGTATCATATCGGGAACTTCCTCGACAGCTGAATTCGTTGTGTTAGGTGGTGCATCTTGACTTTGGCTATGATCTTGGCAGGGTCCTTTCATGTCATCATCCCTTGACTTGCTAATTTTCCCAATTGCAAGAATAAGTTCAAATTGCTTCTGTTGTTGGTCCTGCAGATATGTTTATGAATGCAGTGGAAGGTGAGATCCATCATTAAACATGTTAAGGTGTATTCTGTACAATGAAAATCCATTATGAGGTCACAAGTCCATCGTGGGGGTGCTAGAAAGAACGATAGCTAATATAATATATAAATATAAGAAAGAATGACAACAAATATCATATTGTTTGACAAGATCCAACAATAATTAACTTGACGGAGAAAATAAATGCAATTATCCATCTTGTTTTCATTATACAGAAGTATATATCTATACTAGAGCTATGTTTGCAGCCTGGAAAATGGTAGGGTGCGGCAGAAAATGTTTCTTTATGTTTAGTTTTAACTCGGAATATTCAATGAAAACATCATTTGATTTTTTTGATTTACAGATTATTCAGGTTTCTTAGTCTATATACAATAGAAATATATATATATATAGAGGGCTCTTCTCATCAGGCCGGCCTGACGGGCTGCCCCGTCCGGCCGAGCCCGTTTGGGCACCTTCCCGGTGGAATTTTTTGATGAAATTTTTTGAGCATGTTCCTCGTCAAGTCTAGTTTGTCCATACCAAATTTCAGCTCAAAATTCGATCGGGAAGGTCATCAAATGATTTTTGCAAGTTAACTGGTCCGGAAAATACATATTCCAGACCAGTTAACTTGCAAAAATCATTTGACGACCTTCCCGATCTTATTTGGAGCTGAAATTTGGTATGGACAAACTAGACTTGATGAGGAACATGCTCAAAAAATTTCATCAAAAAATTCCACCGGGAAGGTGCCCAAACGGGCTCGGCCGGACGGGGCAGCCCGTCAGGCCGGCCTGACATGAAGTTTTCTCTCTCTCTCTCTCTATATATATATATATACACATTAATTACTTTGAACAAATATCATTAGTTTGTTGAGTTCGAACGGATGTTTTTCCCACCAAATTTTCCTTTCTTCCACATTTCATCTTTATCTTCCTCATTTTCTTTCCATGTTCCAAACAGAGGTAACCCCAAAATCTTTTGGGGTTAAGGCTTGGATGTTGTTGATTGTTCCAAACAGAGCTTCAGCATTTCCCACTGGGCTGACTACATTAAGGAAAGACTATTGTACTAATTTGAACTACTTAACTTACACAGAAAAAGCCATAGCTACAATCACAGGTGATGAGGTACAAGGTTATTAGTTACTACGTAGTAATCAAAGAGAAAATTTCCTAAATAGGAGTAAAAGATACCAAAATTTGTCAAATAGAAGTACACCTGTTTTATTCTAAAAATAGGACTCATGCACTCCTCTAAAGGGATGTTTTATGCTTTTATTCTTTTAATAGTATCAAATATGTCCTGTTTTGGGAAGAACACATACCTAGTCTTACTTTGGAACTTTTCCTATATTTTACTCCTATTTTGAGCGGGTCTTTGTATATATTTTTAGCTGTTGCACACGCATGTTTATATAAATTTCAGCTATGTGTGGCGGGATAGGATCTTTTGCTACGCGTCATAGTGTCCACCTGATCTCAGCTATTCGATGTATGGGGCCTGTCACCAACGTTGATTGGACAAACCTCAAGATCATCTCACCATGACAAATTGTACTTGTTTATGTGTGTGAACTGTGAAGTGTGACTGTATGAGGGCGCCTTCAGTGTGTCTGTCTATTCCATTGTTCAAACAGATCCTATGGCCATTCATGCTCCAAGTTAAAAAAATAAGCTTGTTATGTTGATTATCCCTTACAAAAAATGAAAATTGGTATCCGAGACAGGGAGATATTCATACTTGCATTGCCAGTAGGATGTTTTGTATTTCAACAAACTCCTTCTCAAGAGTTTCCCCTTGCACTGCCAATGCTCTTGTAGCCTCAGAGTTCTTCTGGGCCAATGCAGCTGTCTGCAAATCATGATGTGGGCAATGGATTAGCAGATACATTATTATTATCAACTACTCTGTATCATTGTAGAATAAATTATTAAGAATAATTACCTCCATAATAGGATCCTTCAAACTCCTCATTTTAATCCGAAAACGAGTCCCTAGCTTCTCGAGCTGCCTTGATAACACCCGAATTATCTTCATGGAGCTCCGGGAATCTTCTTCCAGCTTCTCAATCCTCTCTACAAGATTAAACCCATCTGAACCCTTGCTGGACTTTGAAAAGTCAACGTTACAAATCCTCCGCCACTGCCGCCTCCTAATTAAGGCGCCGATTAGCATTCCACCAGCCAGCACCGCACACTGTCCTACCAGAAACGGGAACCCGACCCAGTTATGCTGCCGGAAAACCCAAGAATTCACCGCAACTGCAATTGACGCAGCCGCCGAGGAGGCCAAGCACAGGAATTCAAGAACTGATAAGAAAGCATCAAAATCGAATCTTTTGTCGGGCACAGGTTTCTCGGTTGCTTCCAATTCGAAGGCCCTAACGACGTACCTTTGGCGGGTCTTAAGAAATTCCAAATTGGGAAAATGGGTTCTGGGAGGTTGGACCCGCAGGGTAAAGGGTTTGAGGGAAAGAGAGATTCCTCTGGATTTCTCCAAACGAGTTTGCGGGTAGAGGCTAAAGCTTCCAACCCGACAATGAGAGTTGGAGGCTGTGATGAGGTTTTGCGACATTGTTGTTGCAGAAACAGCTATGGATGCTGCAAAAAGAAGATAGAGGCCCTACAGGCTACAGGATTTGGGGTTTGACGGGACGGATCGGGTCATCGGAAACATGACCGGAGTGGGGATTTTGTAAGGAACTAGGGGCAGACTGGAAGAGAAGTGGACGGAAATTGCAATGGGTTCAACGGTTTGCTCCGTTGTCGGTGATCAGTAGATAGGGATTTTTGTATTTAAACAATTATCTATTTTTGCTTTTCATTTGGTTGGGTGGAGAACAATAATCAGCTGGTTTATGTACCATCCTTATTTCCCCTTTATTTATACCCACTACCCACCACGTTTGTGAACGTTTTTTGTCTATGAATCTAATTCGCAGACAAAACATATATTATTTTATCTGTGCAAACATGTAAATTTCATGATGGATATAAAATGGGGTATAAGGGTGAGTGCAAATAGTTTTTTTGAATACTAGTAGCACTTGATATTCTTTGATTTAAAAATTGTAGAGTAGAAATAGATAGTTAAATTGTGTTAAAAATACTATTGTACTCTTTGATTTTCTTTGGTAGCATTGAGAAATGACTAAAATAAATCCTCCAAATTGACGGTTTGGTCTACTTTGTTCAATTTTAAGTGTTGAAAACCAAAATCAAAATAGAACAACCAGAGTTCAATTTTGTTTTTGTGGTTTGCTTTTCGACTATTTGTACTTCAACTTATTTTTATTGCAATTTGATTTTTTATTATTCGTTTTTAAGACCAATTTCACATATCCACCCCTAACTCGACCTTCCACGGTAGTTCTAAAGAATGATGAGTATTAACAAATAACAACCCTACTTATTTGTATATACGCATTTGTGAACAAGTTATTTTTTGTATGTGAATTGTTTGTTAACAGGCTATTCACAGACAAAACTTACATGCTTACAGACTTTGAGACATGAATAGTCATGGACCCGGGCCGGGCCCGGCCGGGCTTGTTTTTTGGGAAGGAAGGCCCGGGACCGGCCCGGGTAGCCACCGGGTCCGGTCCGGGTCCGGGCCGGGCCGGGCCTCCGGTTCGGTTATAATTTTTTTTTTTTTTTTGCTTTCCTAACCCCTCCACTCACCCCCACACCCCCCCCAAACCCCCAAACCCCTCCTAACCATCAAGCCTAACTTGGCTAACCCCAAAAAAAGAAAAAAAAATTAAAAAAAAATCAATTCGGCCAGGGCCCGGGCCCGACCCGGCCGGGCCGGTTCGCCAAATTCAAGGCCCGAGCCCGGACCCGGCCACCCCACCGGGCCTAGGCCCGACCCGGACCCGAGAACCGGGCCGGTTCCGGGCTTGCACAGTGGCGGGCCGGGCCGGTCCCGGGCCGGGCGGCCCGAACCGGGTCCATGCCTAGACATGAACAACTAGTTTTTTTCGACCGTTAACAAGCTAGACTATATTTAGGCTTTGACCAAGACAATTTTTTTTGAAAACCTTTCCCTTGAAGCAGTTGAAGGAGTGCCACCTTTTTCTCCTATGTGGTTTATGATCGTCCCGTTTCTTCACATTTCCCTTCCTACTTTCTCTAATGCCGAAATGCCGAATAGGGGAAACTATTTCTTTCCACTTTATCCCTCCACTCTTTGCTTTTTACTCTGCTTCAATAACTACCGAACGTGACCTAAAGTCCTAAACGTAGAGACAAAAAAAAAATTGAGATTCATGTGGCCCCATTATTGAGGCCAAAAAATGGTAGTTCTCTTTTACTACTGATAATAAATTCATGTGAACACAATAATATTGTTCAAGCTTTTTCTGTAACACAAAATTCTACGCTTATCTCACTTGTCAGCTATTTGGAAAGGATATATGTTTGATAAAAACAAGTTAAAAATGAACTTCATTAATGGAAGTTATAAATCACAAAACCTTAAAAACAATGTCCATACTAACACTCTACCAGTTAGAACTTAGAAGGACAAACTTTCAGCACTAAAACATCAGTGATTAATCAGATGAGACCAGACATAATAAGAAATCTTTATAAGTAGTGAATGGATAATGGCTTTTACAGCATTCTCACATCCATGCTAAGGAAGAAGCTAATAACAAAGAAAAAGTTTTTCAAGGGGTCATCAAGAGGCGAATCTGGGGTTATTTATCCTTCAACAATTTGCTTCTTCATACAATCATACTGAAGGGCTCGGTTTTGTCATACTCAATGGCAAATTGGCAAATTGGCAATTGCACTTTAATAGTAAGGCATGTATCGCATTGGTCGCCTAAACCTTGGCACCTTCCTGCATTGAGTGCAAAAGTACAAGAATGATCTTCATATCTCTGATCCATAAAAGTATTAAAATTAAAGTAGTAAGTTGAAAATTACCCATATCCATAGGGGGAATAGAAGTAGGGAGGCACATAAGGCCTCCGAAAACCATATGCCATGTAAGGGATGAAACGCCTTCCACGAAACTGTTTCATCCCAGGAACATTTGTCCTCTTTGGCATAACCTGCAAAGTTCAGCAATTAGAGTAGAGCCAATAGGAAGCCAAGGGTAGCAACTCAACAACATAAAGCATTTCAAGATGCTTTTTGTGCGGATGCAATTTGTGTTGGTATTATAATTATTAATTAAACCCCTTTAAAGATTCTATCTCCATGCAAAAGAGGAGCTGGGAACAGAATGTTTATACCTTCAACTGTCGCCCATGGAGTTCAGATTCAGTCAGCTTGATTGCCTCCTGAACAGCCTCTTGTTCAAGGAATTCCACATATGCAAAGCCCTTTGGCTGACCAAACTTGTCTGTCAAAATAGTGACGCGGTTCACCGTACCACATGCTTGGAAATGTTGTTGAACTTCCTCCGGGGTGCATGCATAATCCACCTTAAAGACCGTATAAGAATTACCAGTTAAGAAATTAAGGTCAATGAACATTTACACTCTTCCCCGAGGAACAAGGTTTCAGATTCTTTCAGTGGATGCCTCTAATTATGGCTTCTCTTACTAAACTTTTAATATTTTTTTTCATTACAGCACCTGTCTTTTTTCTCTCTCTTGAAGGCTTGCATGCAGACCTCATGATAATTTTATTTTTCTAAATCTCATTTTCCCTTAATTCCTTTTTCTCTTAGGATAAGAAATTTTCTCAGGACTAAACATAAACATACACTTACAAATGTCGTATTCTTATCAAGCCTACTAAAACCGTTATCTACTTATGTTCAAACACAGGGTAATAAAACCCAGGCTACTCAGTAGCATCACACTGATCATAGCGGGATAGAATAGAAAACCATGACTCTGAAGAAGCCAAGTCAAAATCGAGTCAAGTCTGTGTTAGTGCAGAGAAGAAAAGTTTCTAAATAACAAAAAGATGTATCAGGCAAAAGTAACCAGAAAAGCACATGCAAACTTCATCCTTCTTGAAGGGTAAGTGAAAATTAGTATTAATTGCATATGCTACACAAATAAGTAACAGTTACTGTCACTTGTATAAATTTAAGTAAAGATATTACACAAATTGGTCACTTTTCCTGTTCTTGGAGCTCAATCACTAAGGCAGGCTGCTTTCCGAGTCTCCCCATTTCTGTATTTCAAAAAATGGGGATCCCTTTGGTCTCTTCTGATATTCCCCTTAATGGTTAAAAACTGAAAATGGTATGATGACTTTTTAGAAATTTCATCTCATTATTCCATCATTAGAAGGTTGCAACAAGAATTGAAACCGACTTACAACTTTGCCACCACGCATGCATTTTGCAAGAATTTATAGTCAAACCATTTGGAACAATTAAATCACACTATATTGACACAAACTTCAACGTTTTAAAAAAGTAATTTAAGTATAAAAACAGCATCCTACAACTCACATTGCCAACGAATATTGATCGTGAATCAAGTTCCTCCTTGTTTGCCAGAGAAGCTGGATCGCTAGCAGGATCTACCCAAAACAAGAAATGCAAATGCAAAAGACAGAAAAAAAGCATAAACTATATTGATATAATCAGACAAGAAAAATCATAAAAACATGAAAAAAGTAAAACAATAGCCCCATGTGTGTATGCACGCACACTAAAACTTTAGCTCAAAGGACATCATACTGATTCTTCATTTCTTCTTTCCATTTGCAATTACATCATTCATTTGAATTCTTGAGATGAAATTGTTCTAGAAGTGATGTATTATTTGACTTCTTTCATTACCCATATACTGAAAAAAAAAAGAAAAACTAACAGAAACATAGAGCATGGCACATTTCACATAGTAGCAAGCATAATTCTTCCAACAAATAAAAAAGATTATCCGTTCATCTAAGGAAAAGAAAAGGACAAGCCCATCTGAGGGAGTAAAAAATCACCAGCAATCCAGTAAAAACCAAGTCTTTCAAGCACTAGCTATTACTTCGAACATGATCTAGACTAACGAGTCACTCCGGTTTTTTTATTGTGCCTTCTTTAATGCCTAGTATATCTTTCCACTGTGTCATGCTTAAACCCAATAATAATCAAATTCATAACAAAACAAACAAAAAAACTTAATTTGACAAAGGAGTCCAAACATTATTTGATATACAATACACGTGAATGGGGGGGGGTCTTCAAACCCTAATGTTGATTAAATTAAACCATGTTCTACCTTGAACGGCGCCCATCTCCTTCTCAACTTTGGCCTGCATTTCTCTAAGCGCGGCAGCTTCTTCTTCCATCTCCTTCAGTCGCTTCTTCATCTCATCCAACTCCTGAAATTCCGTACCATCAGGCATTCTACCCATAGGTTTATCATCAAACAGGTAAACTAAAGAAATTGAAAGAGGTCATCGAAGCTATGAGAAAGGACCTTAACGGCGTCGTCATCGGCGGTGGACATGTCAACATCGGCCCCGTGAGACTCTACGTCTCCATCCAATTCACCTTCGACGGGGATTTCTCCTCCATACACCTCGTGCTCCTCGTCTTCCATCTCTCACAGTCCACCCTCGCTAAGACTGGGTTAACAGCTCAAATTTTTTTCTTTGCTTTAGAAATAAAAAAAATAGGAATATACTACGTATAAAAAAGGACAATGTGGGAATAATACTTTAAAATTCGAAAAAAAATATACTTCTTGTGCCCTAAATACATTTACTCGGTATTACTTTTCCCTTTTCACTTGTTCTAAGATTATGTTTGTTTAAACGATCTTGTAAATAAGATATTTTTTCTTGGACTTCAGTTACAGATCAAATCTAACAAATTTAGATAAGTAAAATGTGATGAGATGAGACTTCAACAGGTGTAAAAACATAGACCAAACATCTA